CCCATGAGAGGGACCCCACAATGACCTTGGGGAAGAGTGAAAAGTCCGCCTCCAGAGTGAAAAAGCAGCAGTGGAACCAACATTGGATTAACTGACCGTAAACCCCTTTCCCTGTCCCCCTGCACTTCTCGGGGGGAGGAGGTGGAGAAACCAGGATTGATGTTGAGCCCAGGAAGAAGGGAGGGATGGGGGGAAGGTGTTCTGCTTTTAAGATCTGTTTGCTTTTTTCTTTTTCTCACTACTCCTCTCTCAATTGTTCTCTAATTAATTTCCCCAAAATCAAGTCTGTTTTGCCCGGGACAGTAAATGAAAATGATCTCCCTGTCCTTATCTCAAACCTTAAGCCCTTTGAAATATTTTCTTCCCCAGTATAGAAGGAGAAGGGGGAGTGAGAGAGCAGCTGTGTGGGTACCTGGCTGCTAGCCAGGGTCAAACCACGACATCTGTGTAATATTGAATTTTGTTCACAGAATGAAGACAGTGTAATATGTGTCCCATGGTTGGTTCAGTTTCTCATACTAATAAGGCTCAATCAAGCCCATACCCTTCCTCCCATCACCTAGACTGGAGAAAGACACAAAAAGAAGCCCTCCGATTATTTCTCTACCCCACGGTACCTGGAGAAAAAATGCTTATTCCCTTCTGCTTCTGTCACTCACAAACCTGAGTCTGCTCTCAAGTGAACACATGACTGGCTCCCAGAGATGAAAATCAACCAGCTCCAGTGCAACCCACACAGGTTATCACAGAGGTGAGTGCTGGTCAGCCAGTCCCAGCTCTGGGATTACCCCAGGCACGCACAGCATGTCAGGAACTGCACAGCATACAGGGAAACAAATCCCCTGCTCGCACCTCTGAATCCTGCATTCCTCTCAATTATAAGACTGTGATAAACAGGGTGATTCGCACCTTTCAAAGACTTATCTCTGGCACTTTGTATACTGAAGTGTTGGTTTGTTCAGCTCACATTTTCACAGCTGTCATCAGACCTACGAAGTGGTGTAAATGACAGCCCACTTGTAGGGCCTCTAGGCTAGTGGACTGCATTAGATTCAAGACACAGATTCTGCATTTATTTTTCTTTTAAACATTTCCTTTAATTTGTACTATATGTTCTATATTCAAATCAACACTGCTGTAATACTTTTTTCTTTTCTGAGTGTAAATTGCCCTTTGTAACACTACCTAAGTGAAGATGCTGGCACCTTTTTTTTTTAATCCAAAGGAGTTCCATATACAGGAATTACCACTTAAAGCCTTTTAGAGAGAGTGTATACAGTTAATGTATGAGAAAGGGGCAGAGTGTACCCTCAGCAAGTTTGCTGATGATATGAAACCAGAAGGCTGCACTGCCATCCAGTGTGACCTGGACAGGCTGGAGAACTGGTCAAGAAGAAATACAATGAAATTCAATAGGGTGAAGTGTAGGGTCCTGCATCTGGGGAATAACAGGCCCATATATGAGTACAGATTGGGGGCTGACCTGCTGGAGAACAGCTCTAGTGAGAAGGACAAGAATCCTGGTGGATAACAGGCTGACCACGAGCCAGCAACGTGCTCTTGTTGCCAAGAAGGCCAATGGCATCCTGGGATGCATCAAGAAGACTGTGGCTAGCAGGTCCAGGGATGTTCTCCTCCTCCTCTCTTCTGCCCTTGTGAGGCCTTGCCTGGAGTACTGTGCCCAGTTCTGGGCTCCCCAGTTCAAGAAGGACAAGGAACTACTGGAGAGAGTCCAGTGCAGGGACACAGATGATGAGAGGAGGCTGAGGGCGTGTCTCATCAGTGCTTACAAATATCTAAAGGGTGGGTGTCAGCAAGATGACATCACCCTCTTCCCAGCGGTGTCCAGCGACAGGACAAGGGGCAGTGGTCACAAAATGGAAAACAGGAGGTTCAACCTAACCATAAGGAAATACTTCTTTACTGTGAGGATAACAGAGCACTGGAACAGGCTGCCCAGAGAAGCTGGGGAGTTTCTGTCTCTCGAGACTTTCAAAACCCACCTAGATGCGTTCCTGTGTGACCTGCTGTAGGTGATCCTGCTCTGGCAAGGGGGTTGGACTAGATGATCTTCAGAGGTCCCTTCCTTACTGTGAGGGTAACAGAGCACTGGAACAGTCTGCCCAGAGAGGTTGTGGAGTTTCTGTCTCTGGAGACTTTCAAAACCCACCTGGATGTGTCCCTGTGCAATCTACTCTAGGTGATCTTCCTCTGGCAGGGGGGTTGGACTAGATACTCTTCAGAGGACCCTTCCAAACCCTACTATTCTGTGATTCTGTGATGCTTGATGATCTTAAAGGTCTTTTCCAAAGTAAGTGACTCTATGATTCTCTAAGTCATGCTTTAAATGCATCTGCTATGGTCCTATACCATATAGCACCATAGCCTTGGAAATGGACTAATGAGAAGATCACTGTCTTTCTTCATGACATTTATATCTGTAGTAACTAATGACCTGTCACTGCCTGTCACCTTGTGGTCTGTCAATAGTTAGGTATGGATGTTGGAGAGTTCATGCACTAGACAGTTTAGTTTAGGAAGTGCCTCTGGGTCAGGCAAGAGAGCATCGGCAGTCTCACAGTTTGTACAGAGAGCCAGTGCCAGGGCAAAGGAAGAAGGTCGGGACTTCCTGGTAGACAGTAAGTTAATTATGAGCCAGCAATGTGCTCTTGTTGCCAAGAAGGCCAATGGTATCCTGGGGTGCATAAAGAAGAGTGCGGCCAGCAGGTCAAGGGAAGTCATCCTCCCCCTCTATTCTGCCCTGGTGAGGCCACATCTGGAATACTGTGTTCAGTTTTGGGCTCCCCAGTCCAAGAAAGACAGGGAACTACTAGAGGGAGTCCAGAGGAGGGCAACAAACATGACTGGGGAACTGGAGCATCTCTCCTACAAGGAAAGGTTGAGAGAGCTGTAGCTATATAGCCTGGAGAAGAGAAGGCTGAGAGGAGACCTCATCAGTGTCTATAAAAGGGTGGGTGCAGGGAGGACAGAGTCAGACTCTTTTCCGTAGTGCCCAGTGATAGGACAAGGGGCAATGGGCACAAGTTGGAACACAGGAAGTTTCATTTAAATATGAGGAAGAACTTCTTCACTGGGAGGGTAACAGAGTATTGGAACAGGCGGCCCAGGTAGGTCATGAAGTCTCTGTCTTTGTAGACTTTCAAAACCCACCTAGATGCAATCTTGTGTGAGATGCTCTAGGCAATCCTGCTTTAGCAAGGGAGTTGGACTAGATGATCTGCAGAGGTCCCTTCCAACTCCAACAGTTCTGTGATTCTGAGTGACCATGTGGCCAGGAGTGGTGAGGAAGAACTGAACCTACAGATGAGCTCCAGCGATGATGAAACAGCAAATTTCATCTTGAACTGGATTACAAAAAGCTCAACACCCAGTGACTCCAGAAAGGGCTGAATTCGCACGTGCACTCTGAAATTAAAAAGTACATGTTTTCAATTCCCTGAGATATCATGCTCTTCCACCCTCCTGATACAAGGCAGGATGAGTGCTACTTTCCTCCAAAGAAATTATGCACATTTATCAGTAATTGAAATTTAGTGAATGTTCTTTTCAGGTTTATAATTGGACACTTTGTGCTTTCCAAATTACTGGCATTTCTGACAGTCAAGAAAATTAAACACTTTGAATTACATTATTGAAATCCAGCAATTTGTCATGTAGAGCACTGAAAAATAAGGACATTAACAAAATAATGTTTAAGTATCCACATACATACAGTAAGAATTCAGCATTCTGGGTGATGGTATATCTTCCTGACTATTCCACTGAAATCCTATTTACTTAGACCTCCTCAGTCTTGCAGTTTGGTAGACTTCTAGTTCAATGAACCACATACTATATAAATACAACACACTATATTAATAATTGGAAAGATTGGTGAAAATAATTTAGAGAATGTCTAAATATGAAAATTAAACCAATTCCAACAATCTGCTTACACATCACTGAAAAATCTGAAATCAAGGAAACAGCAAAGGTCAAGTTTGTATGTAGTTGGCATAAAATAAATTCTGACTATAAATCAAGTCCTTGAACCAGCCAATTCAATTTTTTTTCATTACCTATTGGTCTTAAAAAATCACAAGAAAAGAAAATGCCAAGTTCCTGCAGAAATGCTCAGTAGTGAGAGAATATTGAGAGAGTATAACTCTCTTGCCATAAGTACAGACACAGGAATCTCAGGGATCCCCATTCTGTAAGGTGTGGCTGGGCTCCTTCGAGGTTTAGTGTCCCAGCCAGTATGATTCTCCTTGCTCAGGCCATTGGTGGAGATCAGGAGGATATGGGAGGAAGTCACTGAAATGGAGATGGATGGAAAGCCTCCCTGCCGCAGGCTGGGATGAACAGAGTCCTTTACACTTCTCCTTCCCGGGGCTGAATCATACTCAGAGAAATGTTATCTGGGGGCTTCCAAGACCAACTTTCTGCACACTGACAATGCAGTTGCCACCACTTCTGTCTGATCTGAAGGCAGTCCTGCCTCAAGCTCAGCGTGGGAAAAACAGGGGATGTTCTTACCTCTCTGAGTCCACAGCTGAGAGAAGAGGTAACTGGGGGGAAGGATGGAGAGGACTACCCTGTACGTTATGTCCTGGGGAGGAGTGGCTGCTAGGGTGGGACAAGGACACTGCCCCAGTTGCTGTTCCACTTCGAGTTGTCTGTGTGCTGGGGAACGTGGCCACTGAAAGCAAAAGGAGAGAAATAACCCTCATCAGACAGATGATAGCATTGAAAACTGACCAAACACGAATGGGTAACAGCTCCCCTAAAATTGTTCTGCCAGTTCTTATCAACTGGTTTTTCTGAAGTGTTGTTTTCTGTCTGAAGGGGAGGAAAAAAAAAAACCATGAAAAAATGCTAATCTTTAGTGCTCTTGAATGACACTTTCATAAAATCAGGCATGCCTTATCTGTATTCCTTGTCTCAGGAATTTGCCTGAATAAGGCTGCAAATCTTCTATAACTTTCTAGTGCAGAATAGGTGTCAAATACTTCCTAAGATGTATTTTTTTAGAGCTAGTGAAGGAAAGCACAGTTTGGTAAAGAGTGACATACTTTCCACATTTTCCCCTCAGCTGTAAAACCCCCAAATTTCTTGACGAGGTCAAGTGAAACTCAAATATTGCTATTATTGTCCCCAGAGCCCCCAGTAATGCATACGAAAAATTTTAAACTGCTGTTAACTGTTTCATAATTTTATATGAGGTTGCTTTTGTATACATTCCAAATAAGGAAAGGTTCTGGATGATTAAACAAAAAGCAATACAGGGCTGCCTCCAAATGTCCTAATGAGTTGACCCCAAATCCTGCAACTTCATTTTCAGAAGTTTCTTAAATTAGGCAGTCAGAAGGTAAGGCACTGATTACCAGTCCCTCTGAAAATCCAGCTACTCAATTATTTTTACTCACATCTGTGTCAGGTAGTTTATGTCGATGTTGAATGGCAGCCAAATATTTGCTCTTAACTATTTTGTGAATCCTGAGATTAAATTATATAGACTGTCTATAACATGAAAATGACCTCCCTCTGTTTGGTTGTTGTATCTTCCAGATTCTTTACAAAAAAGCATTTTTTAGGCCTAGTTCACAGAAGAAACCTCTACCTACAAAACTTATGTTAGCGAATATGTTGGAGATAATGATTCAAATTTGTTGATAAAATCTTAGTTCCTCAAAGGCCACTGACATTGGTAAAAGATCTTTCTAGGCTAAAATACCTGCATGGATGCTGCAGTCCTAGTAGAACACTTCTTTACAAGTAACCCCACCATAGATCCATCATCGAGAAATTTATTTTACAGGTCACAACACTGAATGTTGCTACCCATGATCAGAAGGGTGAAAAGTCCATCTCAACTCCCAAGTCCTCAGTCTATTTCTGGAAAGTCTCTGCTCATCACAAGCCAGCTTTTGTGACACACTAGATACTCATCACACTAAGGAAAAGTTACGGAAAGGCTCACAAGTTTATGCTGCAGCCTCATTAAAGAGCAATCCTGGACATCTTTTTGCTCTGGACATCTTTCTCTGGTGGAGATGACAGACAGTGCAAGATAACAGACAGGAAATGGTTTTGTGAATAAAACCATCAAATACAGATGCTGCAGAGGCAATGCTGAAGTCTAAGGGAACCTGGCATGAACCACACTGGCGAGCAAAGCTGGAGGAGTGGAGGCTGCCCTACCACATGGCCAGGAAACCAACAGAAACACCTGCAGCTGCCCTCTGCACGAGCCTCTACTGCCTGCTAATTCTTACACGGACCAGAGCCTTTTAATCAGAATCCAAGTGACAATACACACCTCATAGTAGAAAACATCCCAAACCTTAAGAGAGGTACAGAGGATCTAGATCCCATGGGGAGATATGACATCACTTAAGGCATCAGAATGACTTACTAAGAAAGGGCTGAGGAAGAACCCACCCCTTAAGACAAAGGAAGGTAGCTTCTACTGTTTTATTGCTTTGCTCACACACCCCAAAAATCACTCTCTCCACACTAGTCTCTTGGAGTAGCATCAAGATAAATGAAGAGGGGAAAATAAAGGAATAATCTTTTGAATTTCATATGCTTACCTGCAACATGGAAGAAAATACTGAAAAGAATATCAAATGCACATTCTGGCAGAATAAGCAGAGACAATATTTAAGAAATCAGAACACTGCAAAGGAACACCCTGATTATCTAAATAAAATCAAAGACTATTTAACTATTTAATTTTTTCCTGGTAAAAATAGGGTAACTTGCATTTTTCCATGGGAAAAACATCAAAACATGTAAGAAAACACAATGATTTAATTTCCAATACTGTGATATTTGAGTTTCAAATAATTTTCAAAGGTCTGGTTGATCAAGAATAAAAGGGCTGGACTGCAACTGGGTTTCCAGCATAAGGTGGCAAGAGCTGCTCTTCCCCGTCATAGCTATTCTCTGTCAAAACCATTACAAGGCTAGTATTTTCTGATTTGTGCTTGCACATTTCTTGCTGGCCTAGGTTGCAGTGGCAGCACAGGTTCCCATAGTGCTGCCCAAGACCTGGTGACTCTGTTCCTGGGAAAAGGTCATCTGAAGCCAAGCATGGGCAGCCATATGTCCTTTCTCTGAACTAGAGCAACCTAAAGAGCATTGCAATATTCACTATCATAGCAGTATCTGCTACTGTAGGATTTTTGGCTAGGTTTCCTAGCAATTTCTCTGTACATCCCACCATCTACTAAGACTCTTCTCCCTTACTCCACAGCTCATAAAATAAGAGAAGAAAATAAAGCAGGTCACTGAAGGATCACCTACTGAGTCAGAATAAAAAGTATGAGAGGTAGTTTATAGGTAATTATAGGCCTCTGATAAAAATGGTACAATGGCAGTTGCTAAAAGCCTCCCAACTGCTACCCAAGATATCCTCAAAGCAGCCTATAATATAAGTATGATGTGTGGCTTTAATTTTTGAACATTCTTTGATCTATTATCTGAATTGGACATGATAAATATTTTCTAGTCTTGTTCCCGGATACTTGCAATGATGGGCAGCTGGACTGATCATCAGTTGAAAAAGCTGGACATCCTGGAAACTTCTGTAGTCCCTGAGATTAAGAAATAATTAAAACCTGGACATAATAAATTGGGTTCTGGACTGGGATTTAAAGTGACGAAGCATGTTCAGAGGACAACGAAGCTGGTGAAGTGTCTCAAGAATGAGTCTTATTAGACAGTCTGAGGGCACTGAGGTGGTTGAGCCTGGAGAAAAGGAGGCTGAGGGGAGATCTCACTGTCTACAGCTGCCTGACAGGAGGTTGTAGTGAGGGAGAGTCTGTTTCTTCGCCCAAGTAACAAGCGATGCGACAAGAGTAAGTGGCCTCAAGCTGCACCAGGAGAGGTTTAGACTGAATATTAACCAAATGTCTTCACCAAAAGTGTTGTCAAGCACTGGCACAGGCTGCCCATGGAGGTGGTTGAGTCACTGTCCCTAGAGGTATTTAAAAGATGCGTAGATGTGGTGCTTAGGGACCTGGTTTAGTGGTGGACCTGGCATTGCTAGGTTAACGGTTGGACTTGACGATCTTAAATGTCTTTTCCAGCTTAAATGATTCTATAATTCTAGGATTAAGCTGTCGCAAAAAGGAAATTACAAACTTGGAAGTGAAACTGCTGAATAAAAGGACAAGTCTGAAGGGAAATAAACTATCCTCCTTAAAAGAGGTAAGATAATATTAACACCTTTCAGACCCCTGTAATGTGTGTATGGTCCTACCTGGAAATAAATCACATTTAGCAGGAGTTCTGGATATGTATGCCATACTTAAATTCAGCCAACAAAGTGACCACTGAGATCCTCTTAATTGTTGGATACCCTACAACCACCTCCTCTTTTGCATCCATTCCCTATACATTAAATAGAACTTAACATTTCACACTGCAATGGCCATTCATACCTGAGTTCTTCTTGTTCATTCTTTCTTTCTTTCTCTCAGTAATGAGCCACTTCCTAGGGCTGTCAGCTTTAAAAAACTGAATGATTTTTTCTCTAATATCTCCCACATTGCCCATGGTGACTAACGGTTATGGAGCTCACTCACCAGGCAATTGCTTTAATAAAACTCTTTCATTTTTCCTGCAAGAGTCCTCTACCCTCTATCTGCCTGTTTCCTCTGCCTCCTGCCTTAACATTATCTTAGATACAAGCTCCTTTTTCGTATTATGTGTGTAGAGCACCTAGCTCAGTACTGTTTCACTGGGAAAAAAAAAAAAACCACGTAAGGAAAAGTGTCACTTTAGTAAAGCACATCTTAAGTCATAGGCATAAAAGTAGTTAGGTTAAAGTTTCACAGTACTGGAGCATAAGACACTACTTAAAATAAATAGAGAACTGATAAAACTTCTGCAAATTTCCTGATACAATTTTTCATTTCCAACTTGCAAAAAAAATCATGTACTCAACTAGCTTCTTAGTAATATCATCTGCTCGCTCTGCAGCAGAGTAGGGTGTGATATTCAGTAACTATAAGTGAATGACACATTCTGGTTTACTTTTAAATATGAAATTGCCATATTTTAAGTTGTAAAAGTAGGTTTTCTGTGCATTGCATTATTTATCATTTTTTCAGCCTTAGGGATTATAGACTGCACTATACAAAATAAGTTGGTACAATTTCATAGTAGAAAAAATAACATTCATATGTTCTTATTATGAATTAATTGCTCATATCTTTATTCTATGAAGAGAAAAAAACACAAAGCCTCTGTATTTTTTTAAAATAAAACCTAGACGCTACCAGAAATTTTCCTCTTCAGTAGAAACAAGACTTTGAATTTGTTTTACAAAATGTTGCTATGCTTAGCCCTACAAGAGTATGCATGCTTGCTTAACTTACAGTTAACTTACAGTTAACTTGCAGTTGCCTCAGTGTATTAATAAGATTATACTGTTTGTATTTCTTTCACAGAGTGACAAAGGCCAGAAAAAAAAATTGAAGTCTTAAAGTAATAGATACATAATACTGTTTTATTTAATTTAAATTAATCAGTTTGCAGATGCTGTCTTTTGACAGTATAAAGAAATGGTGATCATTACAGGCACTGTACTTTGGTGTATGGAAATGGACTAGCACTTAAATGTCGATTTTTGCCATCTCTTCCTTATGTCTAATAGTTTGCTTTCAAACATTTACTCTGTAGATCTCTGAGGAAAGGAGAAAACCTATCTGCTTTAAATGTGCAGAAACTGCAAGAAAAGTAACCTTCAAGTGAGAAAAGTTTGATTTAGCAGCATTGGAAGAGTGGAAATCCGCTTCTGTTTCTACTTTAAAAGTAGCACTGATACTTTTCAGATAATATCCTGCCTCTGACATTTTCTTGTAAAAGTTAAATATTTTGTTTTTCAGAGAAGTGTCCAAGTTGTTCTTTATATTTAGAAAATGGCATATATTTTAGAAAATGTTGTTTTCAGATAAGTTTGAACAGTAGCTTTTCCAAAGCAGGGCACTTAAGCTGTCGCATGTTTTGCTTTTCTCTCCTTGGGGCACGAGTAATTTTCATGTTGCCATTTCAACAAAATAATTCCCTCTCTGCTGAAGTTATCTCACTTATTCACTTAGTATATTATTTTGCAGCAGCCTTGATGAGTAGTTAATGAAACAATTCATTTGAGCTGGATTGGGCAGTTGTCCAAATGAAGTGACATGGATTAATCTATACCTGACATACTACCCTCAGTTAACTGAAGTGAAACAACACCAGCAAATAAAACTACAAGAAATTTGCCAATTTACACATGTAAGGGAAAGCAGTTTATTAGTTACCATGAAATTAACGCTGATAAAAGCATGCGATTAACACTATAAAAATTACCACATAATAGGAAGCAGTGCCAAGTAAGAAAAAACTCCGAATATCAAAGAATGTCCATAGTTAGTAGTGCTGTAAACCCCAGGTATAGAAATACAACCAGGTATTGAATACAACCACAAAAAGTAATGTCACAGTCTCAGAAGCTCTCTATGGGCCAGCCATCAGGGCTGCAGATAATTGCCAGCTAAGGGCTGGCTGGAGGCAACAGCTTTACAAGGCTTAGGATCCTGGCAAGTCATGGGGCAGCAGTTTGTTCAAGCTGCTGTCATCGTAGGTTTGGATTGACTCAGCAGCTGGAATCTGACACTTAATTAGAGTCTGCAAACTGGGCTGCTAAAAGAGCTGAGTGCTCAACAGATTCCAGTGGAAACCTGCTGTAAGAATGGCCTCAGTTTCTGAAAATGTGGCCTCAGCTCATCTGAGATTACACTGTCCCCACCTAGCTTCCACCCTACCTAGGGACTTGAAAAGTAAAAGGAAAAGCTGGGTGTTTTATTCTCTCTCTCAGTTTTGCACATTACACTGGGTAATGCTGGTAAATAATTTATAAACCTCAACATTCCCCACTATCCAACTCCCTCTCAAAATACTATATAAAGTAAGAAGCTATAACCAACACCATGTGCGTAGAGGTTCCCTGGCCAAAATTAGATTTTTAAAATCTGAAATTTCCTTTAGCTTTCAAATAACAGATACCATAATCAGCCTATACTCAAATTAACACATTTAAAAGTTAACAGCGTAGAAGTAATACCAACTACTTTATAAATTTCTTTATCAATTTCTTTATCAATTTACTTTATAAACTTCCTGATTTTTGTTGTATAAACCTACATTATCACCAACTAGTATGTTGCTCACAATACCTTTGACAAAACTGTATCATAGAACTGGCAGGTTTACAAGCCTCTCAGTAAAACAAAATCACTTACGGAAGTGGCCACTTCATATAATGTTACTTTTAGCACTGCATATAACATTCAGCCAAATTGTTCACTTCCTACATCTGGCTCTCAATTAAAAGTTGAACTGCTGGAAGACGTAATGCATTCTGCCTGAGAGTTAAAGACAGATGTCATTACAACTGCTAAAATACCGCATTATAAAATGTTAACATCCTGCCTGTCACTGTCATGAGCTCTGAGACCTATTATCACCCATAACTTATCAAATGCTTCAGATTTAGCTGAAATGTGAACAACTGTATGTTTAGCCAGGTTTGACAAAGTTATGTATTTTAATATGAAAATCTCAGCTACTTAACCAAAACAATAAAATAGGATTATCACATTTATAGCACAAATGTGTTTACTGGTATATTTATAGTCATAATATCAGAGTTTATAATTCACCATTTAAGTTCATTGACGTAGATCTACTGGAAAATCGGTATGTAATCCACGAATGAGGAAAAGGAGAAGTATTTATTTATTTTAAATGAAAATGAATTCAAGATGTCTACAAGGAACAGTGGACATGAATTGCTAGCAGAAGTCAAATGCCTATAGAGCTAAAATACTGCTCTTTGTTGCAGCAGGTGTTTTCTTGGATAAAATATAATTTGTCCTGCCTCCTCCAAACACATGTAAAAGTCTGTTGGAAAAGTATCTTTTTATATTACTTTGCAGATTCTGTCCTTCTCCCGAGATAGATACGTATCTCAGAGTATAGCAGGCTGTTTATCTGTCATTTTTTATACCTGAATAGATATCATGAACAGGCCCTGGTGAGTGTCCCAGAGTATTATCTGCAGCATCATGTGGTGACAGGGCTGGCTGGAGGGGCTGGATTGCAAGGCAGTCATTCAGGATGTCCTGGCCAAGCTCTGAGTTTGATCTCAACTGAAACACAAGAGATAAAAAAGGAGAAATTATTGTAACATGTACAAAAAAAAAAAAAAAGGGAAATAAATCACAACAATCCTTTAGACACTGAAAAAATGTAATGAAGAAATATTGAGAGGTTAGAGGAAGAAATGGAGGACAAGCAGAATTCTTCTCTTTTAAATCCTGGTTAATGTCCTTCAACTATACCAGGCATTTTTTGAATCCAAGAAAGAAAACTCTTCCAGATGCTGAAGAGTGTAATCAGGCCAAGGGCTACTTATACAGATCAGACCTTGAACAGATGGACTTAGATGTGTTCTCTTGTTATACACTGAAAAAGAGAGAACAGTGTGCTGATTCATGGATAATGGAGATTTATCAAATGTCTGACATGTCTTGTATCAGCAGAGGGATCTTATAAAAAATACAAATATTTTCCTGCTAGTTTAGTGCCCTAAACTGGCTCATGGAAGGATCAGATAAGCAAAGGTGCTCCTGACTTTAGAAACAAAGGACTGAGAGTGATCAGCCAGGAGTGGTGCAATTCAGGATGGTGAAGATGGAAGTAATAACACTTTATATTTACCAAAGTTGCCTCAAGACCACACTGTTGAAGTGATTAGGATTGCATTTGTTTCACATCATGGCTGAAGTGATCTGACTGCTCTGTCATTGCCACTAATCCCGGGCATGGCTACTTGCCTGGTACCATCAACAGCAAGTCTGTTTATCTGACTGATCCAGCAGAAAATTTACTCTGCAAACAATTAGGAAGCAAATTCATATGAAGAATTTTGCACGAAACTGGATGAACAGTCTCAGCCTGAGGCTACAATAAAATACAATACAATAAAAAAATACAAATGAAAAATATCCCAGAACCAAAACAAGGAAAAGGCAGAAAGCCTTCCGCAGCACCCTGACACAAGGGTGTCCTAGCTGTAATGCATAACTGCACCCTGAGGTTTCTGGCAGATGCTGGTTTCTGCTGCTGCGGGCTGCTGGATCTGATGCCTGTCCCAACGCCTTGCCTGGTATTACTGTTACCTATATTCCAAAAATTTGCCTGTTCCTTACAGCCATCTCAGCTCACAGGCTGGTGTATTCATTTAAAAGCATGAAAAAGGAGAGTCTGTGCTTATATGCATGTAAGCCACTGCAGTGGCTGAGATGCAGATAAATATACTGTCCCATCACCCATCCTGGCAGCATGATGGACAGAAACCTGATCTAGTGCAGTAGAACTTGCTGCACCAAGGCATCAAGAGTCCCCGGAAGCAAATCTCACAGGTGCAACTGAGGCTTCTCCTCTCCGTTTGGTGCCATGAAAAGCAAGTAGGTAACAGTGATCAGAAGATAACCTGCACCTCTGACAAACTGCTAAAGGAAGGAAGAGTAATGACAAGACAAATTTCTCTCGGTCCTATACTCAGAAGTGAAGAAAAAGGAGTAATAGGGAATGATTCTGAATGCAACTGTAGAAAGACTCATTCCTGCATCACAAGATGCTGGTCATCATTCAAATGACTTGGGATGATATGCATTAGTATAAAACCACTACAACACAGTAGAGAACTGGTGTTACACATTGTAAGCACCTGAGGTAGAGTGAAAATAGTAAGAGACATTACACAGCCTATGATACCTATGCATAGACTGTGCATGCTGTAGATTACCCCTTCTCTTAAAAAATTAGTGAGTCACTATTGAACTTGAAAGCACACTGCCTTTGTGAGATATATTTGTTATTCTAGAACTTGTTATTCTAGAATTGTACAGGGTGGGGAGAAAGGGAGAAAAAGGAGAAAGAAAGGGAGAAATACCCCGCCAGATGACCATATTTAACATCTGATGTAAATACCAGTGGTTTTTTTCCATTGTAGCATGCATCATTGCCTGCTATTATCCACTAATTATTCTGTTTTTACTGCTATCACTGGTAACATGGCATTTTTATGAAATTAGGCACATGTTGAATTAAATGCCAGATATATTCTGATTCAAATTCTTATCAATTACATTATTAATGAGCATTATGCAACTTTAAATCTCTATGGAATCTAATATGAAAATAAATATGAAAAAATATGACTTCTATTAAAAAAATCAGGATTCTATCACATGGAATGCAAATCTACAGAGGCTCCCTCTGTAAAGTTTTTTTGCTTGTGTAGTTCTATTTTTGTGAGTAAGAAACTGATCCATCCTCTATGACTAAAGAGCACTCATATGGATGAAAGAGTGAGCAGAACAAGGAAATAAGAGCTAAGTATTTACATATTAATTACAAGTATTAAATAATAGCAACAGGCTATTTTACTCATTTTTCTATTTTGCACTGCACAGGAGGGGTTTTTTGTATTTGCAAACCCTTTCATACTGAGAACAAATCTATCAAGCAACCTATGCTGAATAAATTTACTGGCTTGCCCATTAGTCAATGCCTACAAAACCAAACAAATCCCAGAAAACCAAAAACAGTGAAACAAATGCAGGAAGACAACTGTGATGTGACTTCTGGAGGTAGTTCTTAATCCATGCATGGGTTATTATTGATTCATACTTAGGACCACAAGGGATAGAAATGTAGATCTTACAAACTTACATACACAAACACGTATTGTATAATACACAAGTTCAGAGTGACAATATATGTATTAACATATATATAATGAAATATTCAGTAAGAGATGGATATTACACCGCGTTGTGTAACAGCAGACACACACTGATAATTCAGATTGCCACTACAATTACTAACACAGGCCTTCTGTAAACCCTCGCCAGCGAGCAGGTATGTACACGAGTTGCCCTTTAAGAGCCATTACTGTTGCACCACTGGAAAGACACTCTGGGCAAAAAAAATGCTCTGTCTCAGTCAAATATATTTTGCATATTTTATAGAAGACTTCTAACAAAACATTTTAACTGAAACCAATATTTTGCATTTTGTCAAGAGAAGGGAAATCTGAGTTATAATTTTCTTTAGTATCTGAAGAAATACAGAATAGATGATGAAAAGCCAGATGATCTTAAAAAGCAGCAAATAAACTAAACTGCATCCATAAAATTTGGTTTAAAAAGCTATAAAGGAGAAATAATAACTGACCAGACCTAAGTGCTGCAGTATGTTTCTCGCTTTGCTCTAATGACAATACATTACTTTTCCAGCTAAGACCGTAGACTTATCAATCAGCTGTAACAGACAGTTGACACTCATTTTGATTTCTGCATAAAACACATCCCAGCATAAATCTCCCCTCATGCTGGCTGCAGCACCTTGCTTCCTGCGTGATCACCTTGCTTCCCAGCTAAGCACCAGTACAACCACTTCAGGACTCAGAGCTTGCGAACCTATTTTTGGGAACTATAAGGTTAGAAAGTTACCTTGCTGAATTATGAAATAAGTAACTGACAATTTTGCCGTGCTAAGCACAGACATTTTCTGCGTGCTGTAATGTACTCTAAATTCATGGCTGACCAAGTTGCAAGTTAATAATCAACTGCTCAGCTCAATTGTAACTTCCCTGTATGAAATATTTCCTCCAAATATCAGACTTTCAATTTTAGTAGCTCAGCTGTATGGTAGACTTGTGAAGTTTTGCATTTTCAAATGTGAGACATTCCCATTATCATAATGTAGCAGTCTTTTCTAATACACAAACCAAATGATTTACAATTGTTTTACTTCTATGACAGACAACTAACGTTCATTAGTTTTCAGAAAACGGATGGAAATTCTACTCTTGTACATTTTACATACAATTAAATAATTACCAACAATTAAATGACACAAGCAGAAGTAACTAGAATGTAGTAAGATTCTACATTTTTCACTTTCATTATATTTGAGTCCAAGAGCAGAGACATGCTGTTGATGTGATGCATGACATCATTCCAGAGAAAATGTCTTCTTAAAAGAAAGGATCATCTGTTTCATGTTTACGTAAACTATGCGTGTTTTATAAGAGATCTGCATGTTTTTGTAAAACCTGGATACTTTTTTCAGCATTATTCCTGTTCAGCAGAAATCAGACACGAACAATGAAAACCTAAGAAATGTGTTTTTATGAATACACTTAGCCAGAAGAGAAGTAGTTTAGGATTTCTCAAGCACTATTACCTTCCAAGTCATATAAAATATGATCCCAGTAACTTCAAAACCTGCTTAGCTGTACTCAGATTAACCTCTAGTAATTCTTCATCAAAGACTTCTCCAGCCATTCAAACATTCCAGTTATGTAATCAAGTCACAGCATTTTAAATCTTGCTTTCATGAAATCAGGATTAATGGACAGTGGTTGTATGCTGTACATCTATCAGAGTATTTCCATATGTAAGGCAGACGTTTTACATTTTTATATCTGTATATGCCATGTCCAAACCCAGGAAAAAATCCCCCCAGAACTAAGTACTGTTATGTTTCATTGAGAGGAATTATTTTACACCAACTGTAATAGTTTTATAAATGTGTTATAGCTTTCATTATAAAGCTAAGAAGGAATTTCTGTTATTTACATAGACTGCATATTAAGCGTGCAAAGCGCTATTTGTCAAGTGGAGAATAAACTGGTAGTCTTCTACCTATTTTTATTATTCATAAGCTAAGATGGCATTGGGAGAGGGAAACATGATCTGCCCACTGTACTAATTTTTCTGAAGGAGTAGCCAGAATTTAATATTGCTTATGCAGTTAAATTATGTCCTGTTAGCACCATGACATTGACAGCATACAGATGTGACCACTGGAAAATTACAAGTTCAGTATGAAGCGATGCTATGTGACAGTGTTTACTTATATAGTAGGTTTGCTTGCCAGATCACCCCTTCACTTATGCAGATGAGCTTGAAGGTCCAGTTCTTTCTTGCACAGTACTGAACTTTTTTGACAACAGACTATAGAAGTTTACTCTTGCTAAAAGTTTACTCTGGCTAAGTGTCTTAATTCTTGCCCCTGAAGGCTACAGATGCTTTGGGGCAAAGAAACAATCAAGACAGAAGGAATTTCTCAGTAA